GACCACCTGAAAAGCTGGGATACATAAGCAAGCTCGATATCTGAGTTCAGCATGAACTCAAAGAAGTTCATTTGACGGCACATATAAACATCTGTAATATGCTCATTAAATGTAAGGAAACGATCCTTTTTTGAAGCGACTGATAACTGGTGATGAGAAGTGGGTTGTTTACAACAATGTGGTGCGCAAACGGTTTTGGTCCCAACGTGATGATTCACCTCAAACAACATTGAAAGCAGACATTCATCAGAGGAAGGTTATGCTCTCAGGGTGGTGGGTTTTTAAAGGTGTCATGTTTTTCGAGCTCCTTCTAAGGAGCCAAACAATCAATTCGAATGTGTACTGTCAGAGTTGGACAGTTTGAATGAATCCATCATCCAGAAACCTCCAGAGCTTGTTAAATGTAAAGGAGTTGTGTTCCATTGCGACAATCATGACAAACCACAAGTTTGATCACCCATCAAAAATTATTGGAGCTTGGATGGGATGTGTTGCCACACCCACCATACTCACCTGACCTTGCTCCATCAGACTTCCACTTGTTTCACTCTCTTCAAAACTTCTTGCTTGGTATAATGTTCAATTCAGATGAGGCTGTAAACCAGCACCTTGTTCAGTTTTTTGTAATTAAGGACAGGTCCTTCTATGAACGAGGAATTGTGAAGTTACAAAAACATAGTTAGAAAATTAGGGTTATCTATAGGACATTGTAATATGCTAACTATAAATGCTAAAGTAGTTACATTAATTATCCTGAAAAGTAGAACAAAGAGGAAAAGTACTATATTATGCAATGCTCATTTTGAAAAGAAGAGAGAGTGAAAAATTCTTGAAGAACACAATCTTTATAAATGATTCTCAAATGTATGTGCGCACTGCCAGTCAAGTCTAATTTAGTATATCTAATTACTTAAGTACCTTAAATTTATTGGGTTGTCAGAAAAGTCATGATGTATTTTGTCTATGTTTTCCAAAGGTCATTTATTTATATAAACAACAAAGATCAATCAATGATACATTGCCCATTTTGTTCAATAACCTTTTGCCATCTTTCAGCAAGCTATAATTCCTCCTTCACAAAAGGACCTGTCTTTATTGGCAAAAAACTGAACAAGGTGCTGATTTACAGCCTCATTTGAATTGAATGTTATACCACTCAAGGAGTTTTGAAGACAGCGAAACAAGTGGAAGTCTGACAGCGCAAGGTCAGGCGAGTGTGGTGGGTGTAGCATCACATCCCATCCAAACTCCAATAATTTTTGATGGGTGATCAAACTTGTGTGTGGTCTCACGTTGTCGTGATGGAACAAAACTCCTTTACATTTACCAAGCTCTGGAGGTTTCTGGATGATGGATTCATTCAAACTGTCCAATTGCCAATAGTACACATTCAAATTCACTGTTTCGTTCTTTGGTAGGAGCTTGAAAAACATACCTTTAAAATCCCGCCACACTGAGAGCATAACCTTCCTCTGATGAATGTCTGCTTTCGATGTTGTTTGAGGCGAACCATCACATCAGGACCAAGACTGTTTGTGCAACACATTGTTGTAATCAACCCACTTCTCATCACCAGTTATCAGTCACTTCAAAAAAGGATCGTTTTCCTCACATTTAATGAGCATATTTCAGGTGTTTATATGCGCCATCAAATGAACTTCTTTGAGTTCATGCGGAACCCAAATATCGAACTTGCTTAGATATCCCAGCTTCTTCAGGTGGTCGTTGAAGGCTTGAATGATGGATGTTCAATGTTTCTGCAGTCTCTCATGTCGTGTAACGTGGGTTTGACTCGATCAATACCTTTATTTTATCATTATCAACCTCGGTGGGCCTCCCTGACCCAGAAGCGTTGTTGAGATCAAAATCACCAGCATGAGACTTTGTGAACCATCGTTGGCACTGATGTTCTTATAGAGCATTGTCACCATAAACTTTATGCAACTTTTCATAAGCTTGACATGTGATCTTCCCTTTATGGAAGTAAAACAGTAAAATATGGCAAAAATGCACAGTTTAATCTTTCATCTTCAGCTTGTTGTAAAACCTCCAAAACTCAACCAAATTGCTCAGTTTTTTTTAGAACAAAGCTAGAACTGTCAGCTGTCAAATGACATAGCAATAACATAGATGCGAATGACTCTAGTACTTCCAAAAATGAACTAGTGCCATCCGTTGCAAACATGCGTCATGACTTTCCCGAAGACCCAATATATACCTAAACATATGAAGTATAAAGAATATTTATGGGGTTCAGGGCATATACAAATTTTTAAAACTACCTCATACAGATAGTCTGAAAATCAAATAAATTAATGTTTATTAAACAGTACTGGAAAGCATCAAATGTTATGTTTGTCATCATTATTATAAGTGATTAAGTCATTGCCAATTAATGGTATCAGAGTTGATCATTTAAAAGCCTTAAACACAGGGCGATTTGTTTAAAACAAACATATTTTAAATATTACATATTCAATGTCATTAAGTATAGTGTAACATTTTGAAGTCATATCAGTTTTGCAGATTGGTTATCATTGCTGTTATGTGTACAGTAAATTATCTTTAGATACATATGTATTTGTTTACATGGGCAATCACATCTGGTCAGATATTATTTTTGTTTAAATTCATCAGTGCTTTAGTTAAACAAGAAAGAACAGCAGAAACAGACAAAAGTACTATTTTACTGGTCAAGGCTAATTGAAAATGTCACAGTGAGAAAAGTAACAGTCATAACAACCACCACCACCTCCACCAGCCTGCACTAATAACTAACAAATATTCCACTGCCTCATTATTGTACTACTTCTCCAGTCATTACTTCCTCTAAGAAAGTTCCCAGTATTCCATTTACTTTTTTAAAGGGATTTAATGGCTGTCCTACGAATTTTCAATGAGCTATTTGAAATTTGAGGAACCTAATTATGAATTTATTTACTTTCTCTTTTTCAGGGTGATTAATTCCATGCAAGACTTTCACCTAATGTGACTCCAAAGAAAAAAAGTAGAAAGTGAAAAGGAGATTCTACTTCTATAGACTAATGGACTGGTAATTAAAAAATTGAATTAAGCATTAACTCAGAAGAGAGGTTTTCAATATATAAATTATTTCTGTTTAGCCTTCTATTGCCAGGTTAATTGAGTAAATTCTTTGGCCTTGATTATAGCCATTACTAAATGAAAATGTATTTGAGTTCATGAAGTCTTGAAAGTTACACTAGGGAATCTGTATCAGTAAATATATTTCCTTCACTAACTGCTTTCATATAGTCAGATGTTTTATTTAGAAAAAGTCAGCCTTTTCCATGGAAAACAAAAATTCATTAATTATCCAATTAATTGTTTAGGCACATAAAATCTTGAAGTTTCTTATGCGGTTGCCTTTAAAAAACAAACCCTATACTTTTCCATATCTTAATATGCATGAGATCTCCTCAGGCACAGACAGGGTCCTCCATTTCTTTAAGAAAAGTAAAAGATGGGAAATCTAAAATGTCTTCCTCAACTTGTTTTATTTAATAAAAAGCTCAAGGACCGAAGAGACAAAAGCAATTCTTAAGATAAATGAATAAATCATGTACCAAGGGAATACAGGTAATAAAATATACATAGAAAAAACCTACACTAAAATAAAGACTTCTATTTTCTGCATACTCAGACTCATCATTTTATGCCAGTAAGAGTTACAATAAATTAACCACAATATAACCTCATATATCCCTTTTGTTTATGTCTTAAAAGTTGTCATTCTACATTATCTTGAGCACACTAGCAACAACATACTGGCTGCCTGTTTTATATCTCTAATCCGTAGCCCCATGGGTTAGAAATAAATTCTTAACAACAGTCTCCATGTTCCCTTAAGGACAGATGTTTCTGTTGCTGGCATACTGAAGCTGTAACACGCTGCAAAATAAACTAATGTTACTGAATATATTCTATCCATTCCCTTCAAGGAAACCTCAATTGCTAAGCACTTAATTACCAACAGACCAACTAGGCTAGATCAAACCTTGTTCGTTATAGAAATGCACCCATAATCACTTTCTGTGTTGTGACATTTTGATACAAATGTATCCCTAAGAGCAGCAAGAGATGCTATCTCAAGTATTTGGGAGAAGGAAAAAAAAAAAAGAAATATGTCAAATTTAAACCAAGTAAACTACAAAAATGGCAACATAATAAGATCATTAAGTATGGACCAGAAAAACCTGGACTTTTCCAGAGAAATTGTCTGTAACTTTTCAAATCCTATGAACCTAAATAATCATGTAATTGATGCATGTATTTTATTTACGCAGCAATAGAAAGCTCTAGAGAGATATATAGCTGAGAATTTGTTTTGGGATGGTATACAGTACATGATGTTACACATTTTGTAGACTCTTCATGTCCCCTGATTTCAATTCAGTCTCCTACATGCGATTTCTCTTTTCTTTAGTTTTTTCGGTGTACATATTTATAGGTCACCATAAACTATCCTTCAATGACACAAAGAACATGTGATCCAATAATCCAACAAACCAGGGAAAGTGCTATTTGCAGCACCACCCATTTCCCCTCCATGTAGCAAAGGAGACCAAAGTCATAAAATGAGCGATCAATTAAGAATCAAAATACCAGGGACTTTACTCCATCTTCATTAATTACTAGCCAAGCAACTTTGATAAAATAGCTGGTTTTCCTGAATCTGCTTTACTCATGTGCAAACGTCATTGTTTTACTCTCTCCCTCAAAGCTGCAAATATAAATTATGATAATACATTGTGAAACAACCCTGAAAAAAAATTTCAAAAATTCCATAAAGCTAGAGGTTACCAACATAAAAAGTGGTAGATTTTGTATCTCCAGAAAGACATGACAAAAAAGAAACAAAATAACTAGTGCTGAATAATTCTGGTTTTAATTAGTCTATTAATTGGCAAGATACTGAGTAAGCCTTCCCTAAGTGATTGCGAACCCATTGGCAATTATCAACCTGAACGCAATCAACTTACTTCTGGAGGCTGAAGAGTTCCTCAGGGCCGTGAAAGAGTCAGCACTCTGCCTGGCTGCTGCAGAAGACGGACAGGGTGAAAGCATCTCCAAAACTGATCTGAGGATGGTGTCAGAAAGTCAGGGTGCTCAGCTGCTACGTATCTTCCCAACACTGGGCTGAATGGTTACCGCGACTCTTCAAAGGAGACAAGCACACACACAAAAAAAGTGTGTCAAAATATGCTTATGAAGTATCTTTGAAAAATATAGTTGGTGTTAACTGTGTGATCAGTCTCAAACTATATCAGGAATATCACTAAATAAAATTTATATAGATTTTCATAAAAAGGTTTTCCAGTGTAATGTGTAATGTACGAATTCCAATAGATAAGTCAGCATTCTATTTTTCATTCTTGGAAGGAGTATTTTTATTTCCTAACTGAGGATAGTTTAAACAATCCAAAAATACATAGTTCAATTTTCTTTATAGTTTTTCCATTAATTCAAATGGCAGGCTAATGTTAAAAAATTGCCTTGGTCAACACATGTTTAATCATCACCTACTATGTACAGGTACATGACGCTGGGGACAGAGCATTGAATGAATTTCCTAAGTCCTGCCTTCATGGAGCTAATAGTCTTGTGTTGCGTTGACTGTATTTTCCTCAATAGAGAAAATCTATTTATTTCAGCACATATTTTTATGGAGGAAATACACAGATATGCCATTTGTATTCTAACTTCATGTCAGGAGATTGCTGATTTCTACCTATTTCTGAGGGTTCTCTGTCAATGTAAATAATAAAAGACCTACCTCTTTGAGACATAATATTTAACCTTTTTTCCCGTAAGATCTTTATAACAGTGCCAATTGATATTCAACCACTATCATTTTTAATGCTGAAATGGGCTGAATTTATTTAAGTGTTCTAGAAATAAAGGCACTGTAATTTTACTTAGGCTAGGACTTATTTTACCTGCAGAAGCAAAAGTGAAGAATAATACGTAATAATACAATTCCAAAGGGTAACAATAAAAGCCAGATATAAGATGATACAAAGGCAACTCAGGTTTAGGTTGTTTCTGCTGTTTCCATTTGTAAAGATATGTGAATGATCTTACAAAGCCATAATTCAAGAGGATGATTATACTGTCCTGAGAGACCCAGTACTTAGGACATTAGTTTAAAAAGCAAGTTAAGCTATTGCCTAAGTTTATACTGAAATTACTGAGAAATGATAAAAATCAATACATAGATTAATGATAATGTTGAATAAAAATAAATTATGGTTTATTTTAAATTATCTTTAGGAGTTTGTCAACCAAAGCTATATATATATATATATATATATAATTCATATTTAGTATAAAATAATATATTTATAACAGAATTACAGAGTAACTCTCATGACACACACACGCACACACAGGAATATAAATCAATCATATACCCACCACCCTGAGACAGCTATTGTTTGCCTTTTCATGTTTTTCCTTCCATGAATACTTTAAACTAATTTTTATGTTTTTATATGCATGATAAAAATACAAGAAATCTGAAAGTACATTTCCCTCCAAAGCAAGACACATCTCTCTCAAAAAGAACCATTTCAGAACATCCTCTTGGAAATGCTTCGTGCATTTATGAGTGTGTGTGCAGTTTTATACATATATAAGAACACTATACCGTTTATCCTATGCCTTTCATTTAATGCATCATGAAGATCATTTGATGTCTTCTATTATCAGCCCCATCCATTCTACCAGTGAATATCTATCACATGCACACAACATAATCAACTCATAATGTGTTCCAATTGAAAATATTAGCAAATTTCCAGGACTTTGTTATTATAAAATTATATAATCAATATCCCTACATATGTATCTGTGAATACATTCATAAGAAATTCCTAGAAATAAAATATTTAGACCAAGAAGCCTCACTGTTTTTGAAACTCGAATTATGTTCCCTTCTCTGTAGTCAAGAGGTAATATAAAGCAAGAGTATATGCTTTATACTCTTGAATATATAAATATGTTTTATCTTATGGCATTATGAGAGCAAAGCATAAATATCACCAACAATCATTCTAGCCAAAAAAAAAAAAAAAAAAGGATTGACGATCAACAGTATTTCCATATCTTCATTTAGGCATGAAAGCACAGTGGCTGCTACAATCTTATCTGAATTCTAACTCCCCAGAAAAAGTTATTTTGATATATGGCTACATTGTGTATTAATGACAAGAACATTTTCCTTTTCATAATATCATCTCTTATTAAGCACTTACTATATGCCAGCTATCCAAACCATGTAATATCTAAATCAGTTCTCTCAAGAATCAAATGAGGTGAAGACATACTCCTATATTCTACAATGAGAGGCAGGGATGGAAATATGTCAACTAACCCTGGGCAAAGTCATCTACCCAGTACCTGGCAAAGCTAGGCTCTCACAGAGCGCTATCCCACTCCAAACCAATGCTCTTATATCTCACGATGTAAGTGAAGATTTCAGAAAAACTTCATAGGATTCTATAGTAAATAAAATTAAATAAGACACCAAATTTTTTGGTCCATATATTTTGGTCAGTGCAATGCCAAAAACAGATTTTAGACTGGGATTCTGACACTGTAATTTTCCACTGTGACCCTATAAAGATTTCCTTTTTGTTTTTGGTAGTGTGTTGAAATAAAACATAAGAAATTCTGATCAATGCCTTAGCTCCATGTTGGCCATCTTCCACAGTCTTAGAAAATTTGGCAAAAGTTATTGTTTATGTATACGTATTCCCAAGAAATATGGTTCTCCCTCTGACAGTCATCTTGGATGCCAATACTAAATTCTGAAAGAACTCCAGAAACATGGGCAAAACTCTGGAAGTTATTAGGGAATATCTTTTAAAGAAACAGAATCATGACCCCTTTCAGCTCCTAGCAGTACTTTCTTCCTCTCTGTAACATCTTTGCTAAGTGTTCATCAATTGTCTAAACATATATACAGATGCTCCTCTATTTAGGATGGAGTTACATTCTGATAAACACATCACTAAAGTTGAAAATATCATAAATTGAAAATATCTGAAAGTCAAAAACCATTTAATACAACTAACCTACCAAACATCACAGTTTAACACAGCCCACCTTAAACATGCTCAGAACACTTACATTAGCCTACGATTGAGCAAAATTATCTAACACAATGATACACTGGAGTGTCAGTTGTTTACCATTGTGGCTACATGGCTGACTGGGAGCTATGGCTCTGCCACTGCCCAGCATCACCACAGAGTAGGGTGCCACATAACAATAACCTGGGAAAAGATCAAAATTCAAAATACAACTTTCTAGTGAATAGCATCGCTTTCACACCATTGTGAAATCAAAAAATTGTAAGTCAAATCATCCTAAGCCAGTGACCATCAGTATTTTGATTCGAATTTCACTGTCAGCAAAGGCAGGCCTTTAAAGCCCTTTCAACCTGAGTAGAATCATAGCTACAACACACTACTCCGTTTTCTCTTTTTAAATGAAAAAAATAATATTACAACAGAAAGTTGTAATTATTTCAAGGCATAATGTATCTGAATGCATTAATTATGGTACTTTATTCATTGTGAGTATGAAATAACTTTGTTTCCCTCAGGAAGTTCTTCCCAAAGCTGCCTTCAATTTTAACCCATTGAATACTAAGGAATCCTGTGAAATATTTGAAGATAACATTAACATAATCTTAAGCATTCCTTTCAATTTAAAGATCCACAGTGTTTCAACAATTACGAATCCACCAAATTGTATGACTACTGATCTTCCTCCACCTTTTCTCTAATAGGACAAAATAAGTAACATGAGGAACGTGTTCTATCAATACATTAGTCTTAATTACATTTACCTTGTGTTAAAAATGATTAAAAATCAAATACTTCATAATACAGATGTTTGATCTACATGCAAAAAGCCAGCTGTTTTGAATAAATGAATCACCTGGCTTTACTGTAATTCAATAAATCACATATTTAATAATCATAAAAGAATATAATGTTTGGCATTATATGGCCAAGAGATTTAGTGGACTACTTAAAAAATGAGGGTCTCACATAAGAAATGCTATTTTGTTAACAAAACCTTTTTAAAAATTGGGTCAGAAATATAGACTAAAACTGAAAATTATTTCACATTAATGAGTTTTTTAATGCATAAATATTCAGAGTGATCCATATGATTGAATATAAAATGCATCTGCTATTGGATAAAAGTGTAGTATCATATATTCACCTATAGGATCACATGATAAATAAATCAATGCACTACTGGAGCATTTATTGCTTAATGTAAATGTCACATGGTAAAAGGGAATGACACATCATTCCTTTCCTCTAATAGCAAGAGTTCATCAATTAAATAAAACATAAATCTTGGTGTCCTAAAATTTTTTATTATGGCATTTCTAATTTCTCATTAGTAACTCAAGAAAATAAGTTTAAGTGATGCTATATTTCAGTAAGATACAACCCAAGGTGAAGGGCTTTGGGGGATGGGCAGAGGGTAGGTAGAGGTGGTGTTGACTTTGTAATGATTTTAAAGAACTAACTCATTCACTAAATTTCATAATGATAATTTAAAATAATGGATTTTCGTCATAAAAGGGAGGCTAAATTAGTAACTGATTTAGTGAAGAAACAAAATGCATTATCATAATTTGACTTTAATTAGAAAAAAACCCTGTTTACCAAATTGTGGTTGCAAAATTCTTACACAAAAAATAAATAAAAGAAATGTAAAATAAGGCCTAGCTAAAGATTATAGAATTTATGAAGTACTTTTTCCTTGCATAACTAACATTTTCTTAAATGACAGGATCAAAAGATATAAAGAGTAACAAAAAATACGTCAATATATAAATCCTTCTGTGGGTAAGTTCGCCCTACTAAAAGTTTTCTTGAAATCCCTTTGAATTTCAAAGCTCTGGAAACTATTTTTTTCTTCCAAAAGACAACTTTGATTGGCACACCTTCATCCCTTGGTGAAGTGAGAGAATGCTCCCTCTA